ATGGAATGGAATGACACTAGCTCTGATGGGTAGGCATGGCATTTGGTTCTTAAAATTGATGGTCCTACTTCACATACTCTTTCCCGTTAACATCTTAATGCCAACCCAATCGGGATTCACTCCTTTCACTTCCACCCCGAAATTTAGTTGATTTTAGGGTCAAAAAATTGTTCCTGAAGCCAATTAAATGTAAGGTTCAATTAAAGGAGGTGGGAGATTGGTTAAAGTCAGGCTGGGTGGATGGTTTATCAGGGGTTAGGGGATAAGAACCTTCAATTTAACGAACCGGACACCATAGGTGTCTCAATTGGAGCCAATGTCATCCCATAACATTGAACTCCATTGTCATGGGAACTTTGTACGGACATATAATAGATTAGTACTAAATATTGCAACATATAAAAGGTGCTAAGAAAGTAATGAAACAAAAAAATAAGCATGAGAGACCAATTTTATATGCATATCCTCCTTACCAACTTTATGTTACATAAATCATCAAACTCTATACGTATGAGTATGTTTTAAGCGGAACATATACAACAAATAAGGTAGTGATTATCATTTCACTCCCAATAAACAAATTTATACCCGTGTATACATCTTCACTTTGGTGGCAACAAGGAGAACAAGAAGAAGCAGAATCTTCCTGATGCCCGACCCGACGTCAACGTTTAAACCGGGATCGGGTGGCTGTGCACGCTTCACTTCTCAATGACTACTTCAATACTTCGTGTGTTTATACACCGGAAGATTTAGTAATCGTTTTCATATGAGTCGTCATCTCTTTTTACGCATACTCGCCGATATTGAACGCGAGGTGCCTTGGTTCACCCAATCCTTTGATGCGAGAGGCCGACGCAGGAGTGTCCAAAAGTGCACTGCTGCGCTTCGTCAGATGGCGTACATGACGACATCTAATATGTTCGACGAATACTTGAAGATGTCGACTCGGAGCATTAGGACTTGTGTTTATATATTTTCTAAAGCTATTATTCGAGTTTATGATAAAAGATATAAACGTAAGCTTACAACGAGCGACATTGAGCAGTTACAAGCAAGGTATGCCACTAAACAAAGCTTTGTCGGCATGCTTGGGAGCAGTGATTGCATGCATTGGGAATGGGAAAATTATCCCACTGCGTGGCATGGTCAGTTTTCCTCGAGTGATCATTTCAAGCCTACTATCATGCTCAAAGTTGTGGCTTCAAATGGCTTGTGGTTTTGGCATGTTTTTTTTGGTGTTGCGGGTTCGAACAACGACATCAAAGTTCTCGATCAATCGCCCGTTTTTGACGATTGGATTAATGAGACCGCACCCGACTCGTCTTTTGAGCTTAGAGGGAGCGTAGATATTATTTGGCCAATTCCACGATTGTCAAGTCCCGCTCCGAACCAATTGGTCTTAAACGCCATACCTAAAAAAAGCTCATGAGGCGGCGAGAAAAGATATCAAACGAGCCTTCAGGGTGTTGAAGGCTAAGTGACACATTCTAGATCGTCCGTCGAAATATTTTTCTCAAACAAAAATGAGGAATATCATGTACGCATGCATTATTCTTCATAATATGATCATAGAGGACAACAAGTTTGCGATTTGTCATTACAACCCGGACGAGGAGGTGCCTATGTACGAAGAAATCGATGAAGAAAAGAAACGAAGAAAACGCCAAGAAATTTGAAGTCGAGAGATTCACAATGCACTAATGGCGGATTTGATTGAACATATCTTCAATCGCTCAAATAATCAGTAATTTGTTCGTAGTGTAATTTTTTCATGGATGTAATTTTTTTATTTAATGAATGTAATTTTTTTATTTAGTAAATGTAATTGTTTTTAATGAATGTAATTTTTTAATGAACTATTCTCGTTACAATTCTTTTAAATAATCAAATTTAATTAATTTAATTTTAGAAGATATATATTTAAAATGTAAAAAATGAAGATTTGAAGCCTCAGTTTAAAGTTCTAAAGCTTCAAATCCATTTCTACTAAAATTATGAGATAAATTAAAGGTGACGTGTCAGAAAAAATTTGAAGTCTTTGAAGCCTATTTTGAGCGCTCTTCCATTTTTATGGAGGAGAAACTATTAAAAAAAGGGCTGATTTTGGCCCAAAATTTATTTTCTCATCATCGCCCGCCTCAAACGAAAAGCAGAGGCTCTTATCTCCTCCAAATTGAGAAGTTACGCGTGCAAGGGAAAATTGCGGAACAGGGAACGGCTGTCCTCTGATATCCTTCGCCCTCCGAGATGCAGTTTGACCTAAGTGAATTATCTTGAGAAAGTTGTTGTTCGGTTCGCGCATGTTTTCAAATCTTTGTAGTAGAACTTCGCGGGCTTACGGCATTTGAGCAGGTAGCACTTGGAGCTTATTCAAAAGTATTAATTTGCCAAACCGAAGATTTTGAACTTCAATTCCAGTGAAGAAACAACGGATATGGAAGCAGTTTATCAGTTGTTGCCAATGATTTCCTAAATTGGTTCCCTCCCGTGATGAGACGCCAGAACTTTCATAATCTCGCCTTTTCCTCTGATTTCTATGCCTCACTCCTCCAAAAGAGCCTGAAAATCAAAGACCCGCTTGCCACCAGATCGATCCATGCCCAGATAATCAAGTCTGGCCTGCATTTAGGCCAGTTCCTCATGAATAATCTCATCAATGCATATGGGAAAAATGGGTTTGTTTCTGATGCACGCAGACTGTTCGATGAGTTGCCTACAAGGGATGCATCTTCTTGGAATACATTGCTATCTGCTTATGTGAAGCAGGGTCTGATCCAGGAAGCACGTCACATTTTTAGTGAGGTGCCTCGCCCTGATGATGTCACTTGGACAACTATGATTGTCGGGTATAATTTAAAAGGTCAGTTTGAGGTTGCAATTAAAACGTTTATGGAGATGGTTGCCTGCAACGTGCTGCCTACGCAGTATACGGTTACAAGCATTCTTGCTTCTTGTGCTGCTATCAGATCATTGAAAATAGGCAGGAAAGTTCATTCTTTTCTTGTAAAATTTGGTCTGAGTAGACATGTATCTGTAGCCAATTCATTGTTGAATATGTATGCCAAAGCAGGTGATGTTAGTACAGCTGAAATTATTTTTGATAGAATTGCAATAAAGAACATATCTAGCCGGAATGCAATGATTTCGTTGTACATGCATACTGCCCAAGTTGATCTTGCAGTAGCGCTATTTGAACAAATGGATGATCGAGATATTGTTTCCTGGAATTCAATCATTGCCGGGCTCAATCAACATGGATTTCATATCGAGGCATTGGATATGTTCTATAGAATGCTTAGGGAATCATTGTTGAGGGCTGACCAATATACTTTAGCAAGTGTACTATCAGCTTGCACTAATCTTAGAATGATCAATATAGGGAAACAAATCCATAGCCATATTCTTAGAACGGAGTTCGATACTTCTGGGGCAGTTGCGAATGCTTTGATATCCATGTACTCACGATGTGGTGCAGTAAATATTGCCCAAAGCATTATGGAGCAAAGTCAAATATCCAACTTGAATGTCATTGCTTTTACAGCATTACTGGATGGTTACATTAAGCTTGGCAATATAGATCCCGCAAGGAAGATTTTCAACTCGCTTGAGGACCGGGATGTGATTTCTTGGACTGCTATGATAGTCGGCTATGTACAGAATGGCTTCTTCAATGGTGCAATGGATCTCTTTAGATTAATGTCAGAAGCAGGCCCAAAGCCCAATAGCTATACACTAGCAGCTATGCTTAGTGTTTGCTCCAGCTTAGCATCTTTGAACCATGGCAAACAAATACATGCTGCGTCCCTAAAATTGGGGGAAGCATCATCGGTGTCTGTTAGTAATGCTTTGATCACCATGTATGCAAAGTCTGGAAGCTTAAGTTGTGCGCAAATTGTGTTTAATTTTATACATGAGAAGAGAGAAACTGTATCCTGGACTTCAATGATCCTAGCATTGGCTCAACATGGATATGGAGAGGAATCCATACAGTTATTTGATGATATGCTGGCAATGGGTATCAGACCTGATCATATTACTTATGTAGGTGTTCTCTCTGCCTGTATACATGTCGGCTTGGTGGCACAAGGTCGCCGATACTTCAAGATGATGAAAGATGTGCATGGTATTGAGCCCACACCAAGCCACTATGCCTGCATGATTGACCTCTTTGGGCGTGCTGGACTACTGCAAGAAGCACAGGATTTCATAGAGAAAATGCGGATTGAACCAGATGCTATAGCTTGGGGTTCACTTTTAGCTTCATGTAAGGTTCACAAGAATGTTGAGCTGGCAAAATTTTCTGCTGAGAGATTGCTTGAGATTGATCCTGAAAACAGTGGAGCCTACTCGGCACTTGCTAATGTATATGCTGCCTGCCAGAAGTGGGAGGAAGCTGCTAAAATCAGAAAATCAATGAAGGATAGGCAAGTGAAAAAAGAACAAGGAATTAGCTGGGTTCAGATAAAGAACGATGTCCATGTATTTGGGGTTGAAGATGGAATTCATCCCCAAAGAGATGCTATATATCAGCTAACGGAAAAAATATGGAAAGAGATTAAAAAACTTGGTTTCGTTCCAGACACAGAGTCAGTGCTGCATGATCTTGATAATGAGTTGAAAGAGCAGCTCCTTCGAAATCATAGTGAAAAGCTTGCTATTGCATTTGGGCTGCTGAATACCCCAGATAATACTACTCTAAGGATTATGAAGAACCTTAGAGTTTGTAACGATTGTCACTCTGCTATTAAATACATCTCCAAGCTTGTCGGCAGAGAAATTATTGTTAGAGACTCCACTCGTTTTCACCATTTTAAGGACGGGTTTTGCTCGTGTCGGGATTATTGGTAAGGATGGATGCATAAAATCTCACGGCTTTATGGGATTTTACTGGGTTGGTTGTTGTTGTTGTTGCCACATAATTTTGTTTGCCTGTTTTGGCGTATTCTGCACCAACTGCTGTGAGATATGAGGAATTTCTTGACAGAACATATGAAACAGAACTAGTTCTTCATTATGGACCGCTAATTATTTCTCGACAGCCTTACCTTGTTCAGCAAGGTTCTTTATTCCGGGCTGCCATGTTATAAAAGGTACATTATGGAATTGTTAATTATTTGATTTTAGGCCAAACTAAACCCTGTATATCCCACTTAAAAGTAGGGTGTACGAGATCAATTACTGCTTTTAAACATTTTAATTAAAAAGGGGGGAAACATGTCTTGACAGATTTTTAAAGCAAGCAGAGTTTGAATCCAAAGAGGGAGACTGCAATACATAAAATGCCTATTTATGTACAGAAGGCAGTCCTTAAGTACAAATCTGACCTATTTAGTAAAACGATTTCAAGGCTCAAAAGCATTGTGCACTCTCACATGGAATAGATTTTGAATTAGCCTTTCAACCATGGCATTTTTTTCAGTGCTTTAGCAATAATAGGTTAAAGATTGTATATTCATGTATTCTAGCAGCACGCATGCATCCACATACATCTTTCTATCTTTCGTATAAAGTAGATACGATTCTTATGGTCTTTCCTTCTCTGACCATGTTCGCCACTTGGGTGCAGCATCTATTATATATATAAAAGTAGAATCAAAATTGAGTGAAATCCAATCCAATTTCTGCTCCAATTTCAAGGAATCGGACGGCTCAATTTTATCCGAAATGACCAAATCTGGCCATCAATTACAAACGCCGGTTGGTCTGGATTTTTTCGTGAAGATTTGCAACGTTTTCTCTCCACCCGACGAGTCCCTCTGGTTTTCCCTACTGCGGATTCTCCAATACCGGCCCATCATCGCCAGATTCTCCTCTGCCGGGGTCTTCCAAATTACAATCCCGACCACCTTTACTTTGTCTGGTGTGTCGTTGAAGCCGTGGGCAGCTTTTGAGTCGCGATCTCTGCAGAGGTATGTCATGTCGGTGTTATATAGAGTATGATGATAATTCATTGATACTATACGAAAAGGTTCCATACGTTTATCCGCCTTGATAATAATAATTACTTTCATCTTTATTTAACCGCTTATTCAATAATTGAATTGGCGCTCTGCAAATTATTTGCTATCTGTCGATCCCTGTTTTTCTTCGCCGTGATGGAATTGTTGTTACTCAGGCGGGCAGTCGGAGAGGGAATAAAAATATATGATTTTGTTTTGGATTTCAATGTTTTGTTTGGGTGCTGTACTTTTGGGGTTATGCTCCTAAGTCAATTGATTGTAGAGACACATAGGTAGACATGTATTTCTTCCTTGGAATAAGAAATTAGGTCAGAACAGATTCAGAGGTTCATATTTTCAAATCCAGTCGAAGCTTTTCTCGCTTGACAGTTCAAGACTAAACTCAAAGATTCAAATTTCTAAAATTTAAAGTAAAAAGAATTACAATGTATGTGCTGACTTTGAATCAATTGAGTGGATTTTATGTTGCCTAAAGGATTGCATGTCAATCGATGCTCAAGCTCCTGGGCTAGGAAGATAATAGAAGGTAATCACACTCTTTCACTTTTTGTTGATTCAAATTTCTTTAGTAGATTCTGTTGCATCCATGAAATAAGAATAGAAGGAGATACTGTTATTATCAACCCTCCACACCATGGCTATAGAGGATAGTCAGATTTCTTGGACCATAATCATATTTTGTATCGCTGCCTCTATGATTTCACTAACTCTAAGCCTATAGCATCATGTTGGAGGTAGAAGTCCTCTTGTAACGACACCCTGGTAACACACCTTAAAGGCCAGATTTCCCATATTATTGAGTCTTCAATATCCAAGATTTTGTTTCAATTGGATGTGGGTAACACTAAGAATCACAGCACCTAGATTTTATCTTGCCCCATTCTAAAGTACTCTCTGCTTAGGCACAACCTTTTCACCCTCCCTCATTGGATGCCTTATCCACCCAAGCTATTCTGACCAATATGCACACCACCAATGTTCTCCCAACTTGGACTCTAGAGAGTTTTATAAAGTTATCAATGAGCAGTGCACCTGCCTACACAATTCTTGGAGCAAGTTTAAAATTGCTGCAAATCATTTCAATGCAAAGAACAAGTGCGGACTCATATTCGATTATGACTTTTGGGAGATAATACAAAATGATGGCATTGTGTTCATTCCACATGTGTTGGCTGACTTAGTTAACTTTAGGTGTCTGTGGCCCTTTGTACTTTTCTAGCTTCTACACTATTGAATTGAATGATGTATTAAATTGGTTTGTGAAGTTAGAACTAAATCTTACAAGCTGAAACAGTTAGTCTCAATCATTTTACGATATAAACTAAAATGAACCATATTTAGACTTTAATTAGAATTTGTTGGAGTACTAATACAATGAATGAAAATATTTTACATTGACTGGAAATTATGCAGGAGCACGTATGAATTTATTTGAATTTTCATATTAATATGTATGCTTTATTAGGTTTTTAGCATTGGCTATAAGTGAAAGTGAACAAGTTAAGGGAAAGGCGGGTAGCAACAAATGACCTTAACCCTGATTCCTGGCAGCAGCTCATGGAAGAATTAGCTTCTTGAGATGATTTCATCACGAGCAGCTAGGGCCTGGTTTTTTGCTTGAGTCTGAATTTGTGTTTAAATTATTATTATGTCAAGCCTTATGATTCTTATCATCATGTGTTACAATGGGGAGTTGTAGCTGCCAAAGGTACTGGTAACGACATTTTGGGAACATTGACATGGTAGTTAAATTACATTTTGTATAATTTGTAGGATGTGGACTCACTTTTTAACTGCTTTAACTGATATCTACTCACTCATTTTAGCTACTGTCAGAAATTGATGCAAATGGATTGCGTTGATGTTGAGTGAATAATTTCATATGAAAGGCATTCTTCCAGGTAGAGATATCACTTAAGACTACTTAAGACTGAAGTTTGAATAGAAGAACAGGTAGATCGTATATCAATAAGGTTTGCTTCAGTGAGTGTTGATTTTGGTGGAGATTATAAGTGTTGATCAGGGTGTTGGGGTAAGGTTCTTTGCATTCCATTATGGTTTCTGATTTTTTGACTATGCCTTTTTGCTCATGGTTATTGTTTTTTGCCTACATCTGGTTATGAGTTTTTATATTCCTTTCCTTTTCAACACCTAACAATGGTTTCTAACTATGATCCAAAACCATGACTTCAGGTTTAAATAATATGGATACAGAGGTGAATAAAGATGATGAGTTCTCTTTAGATTCTTAAGAAGCTAGCAGGAATAATGGCATAAATAGTAGTTGAAGAGTGCTTTTGGCCGAGTGTGATCTGGTCATATGCTATTTATTGGATGATGTTGTCTTATAATGAAGATGGTCTCTTAAGCGTGGCTAATCATGAAGTTCTTTAATATTAAGCATGACCTTGGGCTTGCATTTTGCACATCAATCTCTTATAAATTTGTTTTGTTGATTTGGATTTGGCTCCATGCTGTCATAATGGGCAAATATTGTGTTTTTATTCTTTTGGAATCAAGTAAAAATACATCATTATCTTTGGAAACATTTGAAGTATGCAATACAATACATCTTCGATTAATTGTTTAGTATGACTGTCTAGTAAGTTTTTGTGAGCGTTGTCTTTTGCTGGTCACTGTCACAGTGACATTTGTTGCCTCCAGTCACCAGAGTGCCATTGTAGATCTACGACGGTTAATTAATTACACTAACATAGGCCGGTCGCCGGCGGCTGTCAAAGGTCCTAGTCAATGGTCAAAATCTAGTCATCACACCTTTGATTTTATGTTTTCATAAAAAAAATTCAAAGTGTTGAAAAAATATGTTGAGCTTTGCATCATCTGACCGTAGCATGTCATCTCACCATAAGGTGTCATCTCACTGGAGTCAATCCCTATATATATATATATATATATATATATATATATATATATATATATATATATATATATATATATATATATATATATATATATATATATATATACACACACACACACACACACATATACATATATATACATATGAGTTTGATTCCAGTCAGATGACATGCTTCAGAATGAGAACTAGCTTGTTTGATGATGAGCAATATATTGTTTCAGAATGAACACTTTGCTCAACAAATTGGGAATGAGTACTATGCTATTTTAGAATGAGTACTAAGTCTATAATAAGCAAATGTGTGAGAATGAATCCTACGTTGTTTAAGAATGAACATCATGTTATTCAAAATGAACCCTATGTTGTCAATTGCCTCACTTGGAATGAACACTATGTTTTTTTGAAATGAACAATACGTTGTGATGAACAGTTGTGTGAGAATGAACCCTACATTGGGTTAGAATAAGCACTACATTGATCCAGAATGAACCATACGCTGTCATCTGACCGAAACTTGTCATCTCTGACTGAAGTCAATCCCGTGTACTACCACTTAGTGAGAAGCCACAACCCTTTTTTCATTAGAGAAAAATCTAAAATGAAGTAAATGATCTTCAAGAATTACAAGACAGAAGATGGCGATGAAATCATTATAAGATCATCCAGCTTTTGATTTTCTGGTTACAAGCGGTAATACAACCGATTTCAAATTCCCGGGGTAAGGGGTCCACAAACCGAACCCTCCCCTACTCTCTTTCAAACCTCCCTTCTTATTAAATTCATCCAATGATTTCACCCACTCAACTTTAGATGAATGCTCACGGGTATGAGGGTGTAAAATGAAGATGGAGTTGTACTCACAGTTGGGGAACATGAACGCTTTGAAGATGCCCCCCAGTCTGAAGACCACATAACCGAAGCTCAACTGATCTCTTGGTGTGAATAGGTTAACCTCATTGAACCATATGCAACTAAACAAGTTGTTCAATGCAGTGTGTTCTCGTATTATAATAGCCCCTTCAGGTACATCTACACAATCACACCATAACATTTGTACGTGAGATATCTCAAAAAGGAAACACAATAAAACCATTCTTACCCTCATCACGAATCGTCAAACACCATAGGTGGTTTGATTTGTGGTTTAGGCTGTGTTTGGTTAGGAGGGGGGGCAAAGGAAATAAATTTTCAGGATTGGATGGCTTTGGCTTTGAAAACCAAACACAGCCTTAAGGTTTAAGCTATGAAAGCCAACCATAACAGACCAAAAACTGACTGACAAATTAGTTTTTTTTGGTTTTGCATACTTGATTCATTCATAGACGTCAATTCACTCACTCACCACTGACAATGCCTTTCTTTGGACTCCATGGTTCCATTCCTTCATAACGATATATTCTAATCTGAAGATCAATGAGTGGTCGAGCATAACGCTTTCTCCGTTTGTTTGAATCAGCTTCCTCATATATACTCCGATGATGTTTGTGCTGAGCAATGGCAAAGGTATGCTTGCCACGCCATAAGTATCTAAAGACACAACAAAAACAAGCACTTTAGTTTAGTTGCTCTAATCACACAAGGTAAAAAATGGGAGTGACTCAGTTTCACACAACAGGCAAACATTTCCACTTATGTGAGAAGGGATTAGAAAACACAAGAAATATTTTACTCTGAAAACAACATGGAAAGAGTTCCAACAGATAAGACAACAATAATTAATAAATAGTTCGTAAAACAAGAAAATGCAAAAAATGAAACCTCAATATATACAAAAAAAATCATATTTAAAACTGCCCGAAAGGAGTCAAGTTGATCAAAAGAATATTTTTGCATGTAATTAGCCAAAAAATAGTGCCTGAAAGATTCACAAAAAAGTTACATATCATGAACTTAGGTAAATCAACACATAAATTAACAAAAATATTTAGGTATGATTTATGATATATGACAGTTGTACCTAACATGGTTGTTAAGTCGACAAGTCGAGTCGAGTCGGTGACGGGAAGACTAGTGGACTAGGCGATTAGTCGTAGACTAGTCGTGGACTAGTCGACAAATCACAATTAGTATTGAAATTTTTAACACTATATATATCTACATTAACCCAACATGAATATATATATATATATATATATATATATATATATATATATTTATATATATATATATATATATATATATATATATTAATGACAAAATACCATAACCAAAGCAAACTTATGTTTAAAGATGTAGAAGGAGGCCGTGTTTTATCGAAAATTTTAAATATTAATGAAATTTGGGTTGGGCAACTTGGGTTAGGTCAAATTGGGCAATTTCTTTCCGCGACTAGGCGTCGCCTACGCGAGACTAAGCGTCGCTTTGCACGCTTTATCGCCTACTCTGCCCTAGGCGCTAGTCGAAGAGCAAAGCGTCATCCCAAAACCGCCCGGACGACTAGTCGGCGACTAGTCGTGGCCTAGGCGACGACTTGATAACAATGGTACCTAAATTATACGTACTCCATAAAAAATATGTACATTAGTCAAACAAATCTGCTTTCCATTTTTGTTTTTGGAGTTAAGAATGACTGAATGAATAAATAATAAATAAGTAAATAAATAAATACTCCTAAATAAATATAATTTCTTAGTTTAAGTATTCCGTTTTTTAACCATCGTCTCTCATGCTATTATTGAAAAGGAGCAATATATAAATGAAGATAATTCATCATACTACAAGTAATTGTATAATATCACATTACCTCTCAAGTATAAGCAATGGATCAACAATTAGCTCCATTTTACCATCAATCCAAATGCTGTATTGTGCTTGAGGGAATAGCCGATGGGTCAATATCTTAGGAACTTTTCCATTCCTCCTAGGCTCATCGTATGGTGGGTTTTTTAGTAGAACTAGACGCCAAATACCCACCCACAATCCGCCATCATTATCCTTTCTGACTGTAGCGTTTTTCTTGATGAAGTCAAGGGACACTTCATCCACTGTCATAAGAAAGCAAAAAAGTTTTTGAGATCGTTCACTTATGTTGGACGGTTGGTGAGGTGTATCATATCCGTCAAAAATGCCAGAAGCAACCACAAAGCGACACTTCTTCACGTATTCAACATCTTTCTTAGCCATTTCTGCACCACCATTTGGCATAAAACCACAATGCACCTAAACATAGAATTATATTTCTGGAAGTGAACAATGTACATGATCAATTCATTCCCTCTCACTTTTTTCCTTGATTGGTACACAAATCATACACTCCACAATTCATAAATGCAGCTCCTAAATTTTTGGGCTGCATCAGATAATGAAGGGAAATTTGAAACCAATGAAAAGCTTGAACGAAAAGTCTCTTAGAATAAATTCAAGGGGAAACTCCAAATATGTCTCACTCTCAATCACTTCACGAAAAATAAGGAAATATTCCACAGGTTGTCTTTCTGGGGAAGCTTGTTCCAAATAAGTATAGCACTTAAGTGAATTAGCATTTCAAACTTCTGGGTCTCAAGATTAAGATGTTACTTTAAGTACTTTCATTTCAAATCAAAAGAAACGCATATATGGGGTTCAATCCAGGGCCTCATTACATTCTCTCCGTGATAACATTAGAACTACAACTGAAAACATGACAATTATTAGACAAACAATTTCTTACTTTCATGCTTGGCTTCACTTTAAAACTCTCATCTCTTTGCTTCCAAGTTTGGTTTCCTCCAAATAGAGGAAGTGAGCGGGATCCACTATACACTGTAACATTTTCCACAACATATGAGAGACTCTGAACAAATCGCTCTGTGGATATCTTTTCCGGAATAACTATATTATTTGGGACATCTGCCACGGGAATCGGACAACCTATTTTATCAAAAGGAGATATATATGAGTAACAACTCCTCACACATTGCAATAGAAACATGCATTTAAGAGGGGGGGAAATAGAGACTAACGGTGTGGTGGTGTCACAAGTCCCATTGTGTTAAGCATGCCAAAAAACTTGCTGTCTTTGTTACAAAGAGCTGCACATAACAAAATTAAACAAAAGTCAGTGCTGTAATATTATGTTACTGTGTTTGAGAAGGTTAGTTCGAGTTGTTTGAAGTGGCTTAGAGTCGGTTAGCATCTGTTAGTTTGTGGAGTGGTAGCCTGTGTGGATAAATACTCCCCCCCCTCCACCCCACTTATCTGTAAAGATCATCAAATGAAATGAAAAAAATATCTTCCTCAAATCCATCTTCTCTCTCTAATTCTGTCTCAGCCACCATTGGCGCTCTTGCAGATTTCTTCGAAGCTCTCTTTCTCCATTTTGAGTAGCTTCCTAGGAAACTCTAACAATGGCATCAGAGCATTCTCGATCCTGAATTGATTGATTGATTTGGTATCGATCGATTGATTTGTGTTGCCGCTGATCTCTGATTTTGTTCCATCGTTGATTGACCTGGCCTAGACGCCTGCAAGGCTCAAAAGCCAAAGATGGAGAATACAATCCAGAAGATGTTCGAACAATATCATGAAGAGATGAATCGTCTGCTTCTTGAACAAAGAAAGATGATGGAAGAACACATTAAACTGCTTGCGACTCGATTACAATATTTGCAATCATCCAAATGCGGCCATCCATCTTTCAGAAGAAAGCTCTTCTACACGTAATAAAGGTAGGAATCAGTTTACTGTCAACCCTAATTTTGATATTCCTCTGTTTGTGGGACGTAACCCTAGAGAGTGGATCAAGAAGTGCACAAGATACTTTTCGCTTTGTAATATACCTGATACCTGATAAAGAAAGTGCAATTGGCTGTGACATATTTGAAAGGTGAAGCTGGACATGGTTCAACAGTGTTAGACGAAATTGGACCAATATTGAAGGGGAGGAATTCATTATTGATGTATGTACTAGATTCGATGATATTGCGCACAATCATGTGGTTGAAGATTCTAACAAGTTGTGTCAGGCTGGAAGCTTAAAGGACTACACTGAAAAATTTAAAGAAATGAAAGGAGTGCAGTTGCAACAAAGACCTATGGAGGCAATAAACATTCAGGGAAACTCTAGCAGGTTTTCAAATTCTTTCAATCAGCCCACCAGGAAGACTATACCACTATTAGCTAAACCTGAATCCACTGAGGCACTGATAAATCAAATGAAGATCATGTGCTGCCAGATAGAGTAAAGGTTTCATTGGACAACTACCTTGATGTTGCTGGTGGCTCTAAAACAGGGAATACACCTCAATCAGTGACTGGGTTAGTGGCTCTAAACCAGGGGATACAGCTAGATGTTGTTGAGGCTACTTATACTGTGAATTCTAAGATCTCTACCAGCAACACCCAGTCTTTGCCGCAGAGAAATCAGTGATTAGCCATTTAAAAGGGGATACAATATGACTGGCCTACCAACTTTGGGTGTTAATGATTCAGCTATACTATTTCATCCTATTTTTAGAAAAATGAATGCCAGAAGAGGAGGCTTGCTGGTCTGATAGAGATAAAAAGCACTCCTGGCTTGAGGGATTTTAAATTGGCTTAAGAATTGGAATGCTAACTAAAAACCATTATTATGTCAGAGGTGGCAGTGGCTGAGGAATACAACTTTCAAGGTACACAAGCCACTAGAATTTTCAAATACTTCAGACGGAAACTACAAGGCATAGATTTTATTTCTGACAGAACACATGTCCTTAGGGAAGCTCAGCATAGAATCTGTGTACTGAACAAAGGAGCCTTCCATTGGCCAATGAAGCAGCTACTAAACTTCAACCTTTAGTTGTATTAGTCAGGACACATTGGTTAATTCCTTGGACATGACAACTAAGGCAAGTTACTACATGGGAATGGGGTGAAGATTTAGCTGTGGCCTGTGGCAAAGAAAGTCATTCAGCTTTTCATTTATTCAGGGAACATATACAACTTCATTGCCTATGATCTTGCCAACAAATTGGAATGCAAACTGGAATCCATTAGTGCATTAAAAGTTGTAGTGTTTGGTGGTTATAGTTTACACGGGTGTGACAGTGTGCTTGTCATCCAGTGGTGGAGCATATTAGGCACAATCAAAAGGAATGCCAGGCCACTACAAAAGACATTTGAATACTTGGGAATAACTCATGTTTGAGAGGCGCAAAACAGAAGAGCTTGATATGTCTATCACAGCAGAAGACTGAAGATCTCAACACATTTCCATTAGTCTTGATTTTCTAAGCTAATGAATTTCTCCTATGGAACTCAATACAAAACGTGATCTTGCCAATCAGATTTAAGCTTCATGGACTTTGGACAAAGGCATTGCAGCTCATGGCTTGAGTGGAGGGATATAGTATATCAGCTACTTCCCAGATTTTCAACCTTGAGGACAAGGTTGATCAATTGGGGGATAGAATCTTAGAGTATATTCGGGAAAGTTAATTCAAGTTGTTAGAAGTGACTTAGAGTCGGTTAGCATCCGTTAGTTTGTTGAGTGGTAGCCTGTGTTGATAAATACCCCCTTCTCTGTAAAAATCATCAAAAGAAATGAAATAATATCTTCTCCCTCAAATCCATTTTCTCTCTCTAATTCTCTCTGTCTCAGCCGCCATTGGCGTTCTTACAGATTTCTTTGAAGCTCTCTTTCTCCATTTTGAGTAGCTTCCTAGGAAATTGTAATATATTGATTGTAATACAAGAAACCCAATACAATCCCAATTCGGCTGGGGTATCGGGGTCGAGAATCAAGATGTATGTTGTCTTATCCCTATAATAACAGAGGCTTTTTATCAGAACTAGACCTGGCAATAGGGTCAATACCTTCAGTTCCACTAAAGATTTGGTCGGTTCGGGTCTATTTCGAGTATATGTTATAACCAGTTACGTTATGTTTGGGACGGGGTTTGATTTGATTTTCTATATTTTTAGGTTCAGTTCGGTTATGATTCAGTTCAGATACAGTTTGGGATATAATTGGGTTGGTATACAAAACGGCTAAAGTAGATATCATTTTGAATAGATACACATTCTTAGGTCTAAACACACTCCTCATTTTATGATTTGTTTATTATTCTGTCCGCGTATCATTGGGGTATGATTATGATTCGGTTTGGGTCTGTTCAGTATGGGTATAATCAATTTCAGGTCTAATTCAAGTTTGATTCAATTTGTTTTGGTTCTGGTTCAGGGCATCTCAGATTTGGGTTATAGAGCGGGCATTCTTTATTCCGAGTCAATTCAGGCAATTCAGTTTGAGTAATCGATTCTAGATCGATCTATTTTTGTCAGGTCTAGTTAAGACTATTGATGCATTGCTGCATTTACTATTTAAAACTACAAAGAAAATAAGAAGTAATGGGAGTTTAGTATCAACTATAATAATCACAATACATGCCATTAAAGGAATTTAAAATATTGCGGAGTATCATACTATCACCCACACAACTGTTCCCTAAAAAGGAACAGGAACCTTAGTTTGGGACACCTAAATAAGAGAAGTGAGAACCTAAAATTGGGATGGAGGAAGCATTTAAAAATAAGGAATGAAAAGTTTCAGATTATCATAATGGAAACATCACAGTGTTCTGAGTTGTGCATTTGTTTTCAAATTAACATTCGAGCAAATTAACGCATAAGCAGAAGAAGGGTAAACTGATGGGGAAGTGGGGACCTGAAAAGAAAGCTGCAGATGATTGGCAAGACCATAAATGAAATAACAACACAGTGCAGATGAGAAACATCCAAATAATCCCAGCCACGAGAAGCAGCCGAATAAGGCCATTCTTCCACAATATCTTCATTTGGCAATCTTGATACGGCTTTCCACTCACCAGGAACTGGTCCTCCCCATCTGCACTTCGACACCGATAACTGATTCAATCCACAGCAGGAAACATGAAAGATCCCATTTATTATGCACACGCACATAGAATTGCGTTAAAACGAGAGAATATACCGCCGACCCGGAATGTGTTTACCTTTGGATTGGTGATTACTGCGGTCGGGTCTTCGACTAACTCTCAATGAAACTGGCATCCATTGACAAGAAAAACCGAACCTTGAAGAAGAAAATTAAATAAATTGGAGTACTTTTTAGGGGGAAATGCAACGTAGATCTGGGTCTCAAAATACATCGATTGCATTCTTTTTTCTTGCTCGCAAAATTTAAGGTGTGTTTGGATTGAGGTAATTGGAGGTAGGGTAATTGCCTTAAATTTAAATCTTATTTGTTTTGGAGAAAAAATTGAGATAAGTATGAGGAGTTGCGAGACTTCCCATTAAGTGTTTTGAATTACCAATTTCATTCACTTTTTTCACTAAAGTTTCCCTAATACCAAACTCTTGAGTGCTTTGAGCTATCAAATTAAACAATTCCTTAGCTTATTCAGGTGTTTTATTAACCAAGGCACCCCCACCCGCATCCACATTGCCCTTCTCAGAGCAAAGGCAACGGCGTGTAAATGAGATTACACGCTTGCCAGCTTGGACAAAAACTCTTCTTTGCCTCGCGTGTGCATCCCGTTCCTCCACGGTTTCCAAGTGAGGTGCAAGGCACTTTATTTGTCTACAGTACACTCCAATACATATCCTTGGCTTTTTGTTTGTTTTGTTTGTGGCGTAATACAAATCTTTTTAAAGTATAATTATTTTATTTTTTAGAAATAATTTTTTTAGGTGTACTGGAACTATTTATTTGATTTTTTTAATTTGTAATTTTTTACCAATTTTAAATAAAATAATTTTTAAAAACAAGAAGTTTTGCATCATAATTTTAAAATGTAATCTAATTTGAGACGGAGGGAAATAAAAATCTTGAGCATATACGAAAAATAATTTTTATTATTTAAAATATATTTTAATAATGTCATTTTTTCAGTAAATAGAAATATTTTTATATTAAAATAAATAGGTAAATATTTTTTTAATAATTCAAATATAGAAAGAAAATTGAAAAAGTAATAAAAATAGTGACTTGCCACTGCAGGGCATGCCACTCCATTCTGTTGCCACACGCTAACTGGACTATTTCTCATTGGTTAAAATGTTCCACGTCAGCGTGTGGCATTCCAATTTTACCTCATTATTGCTCATGCTCTCAGTAGGAAGTAGTCCTTCATAAAAATATTGGGTTAGGAGTTGTTCAGAGATCTGGTGTTGGGGACAGGAGGCGCAAAGTTTATTAAATCTTTCCCAATGTTCAAAAAAATTCTCTCCACTAATTTGTTTAATACCACATATTTCTTTCCTAATTGAACCTATCCTAGAAGCTGGAAAGTGTTTTTCTAAAAAAAGCTTTGTATAGGGCATTCCAACTAGTAAAGGAACCGACTGGCATATAGTACAACCAGTCCTTTGATTTATCAGTTAAAGAAGAAAGGAAAGCCCTCAACCTTATTTGATCTTGAGCAACCCCTTCAGGCACCAAAGCTTCACAAATAATTAAGAATTCAGAAATGTGCCTATAGGGGTCCTCTCCAGGAAGACCATGGAATTTTGGAAGTAAATTTATGAAGCAAGAATTCAATTTTAAAGGCTTCTCTAGCTGAGCATAACTAATAGAAAGTGGTTCAACATTTAAGTTGGGGGCTCGCAATTCTCTTAAGGTTGTCATCTTTGGTCTAGCTTTTAATTCAAATAGATTTTCAAAGATGCTATAAGAACAAGAATCAAACAAATCAACAAATGTTGAACTTTATACTGAGATTCAGCAGCAATCACACGCTTAAGAGATTCAGGTCCAGCCACACTACACTTACTTCGAAGCTTTTACCTTTTATTTCAATTTCACCTAGTACTCTTCCACTCCTTAAGCACATGCAAAAATCAATAAGCTGCAACTCAAAGATAAAGCAAGTATTAGAATTCGTTTACTTGATATAAGAATCTAAGAGAAAATGGCAAAAACATGAATGAATGATAGATTTCCAATGTCTCTTAAGAAAAACTGCTCTATATGCAATCAGTAATACTTTATCTTTGCTGAATTTTTAAAATGAGTATGCCTAGATCACTTAAACTCAATAAATAGTTATTAGTTAAAACTTCCAAACCATAAAAAGATGCAAAATTACTCTACTGAAACTTGTTTTAAAATAGCTTTTAGTTAAGTCCAACAAGGTTTCAACAAAGAATTGACATGCTTCAAGGGAAAAAAACAAATAAAGTTAAGTTCCTAAGGCTCTAATTGTTACTAGTTAAAAATACCAACTCGTTTGGATCAAACTTGGACTAGAAACTCTTCTTAACACATTTTCTCTTTAAAAATTTAAGTTTTCAGATCCTCATTTGACCTAAAATGGTTGGAAGTTAAGTAAAATTTTGAAGTTAAAAACTGCAAGTAACTATATCTTTTCATAAAAAATCGGTCAGTAAGAAACAAGAAAAAATACTCTAACTTGAAGTTGACTAAATGACTTAAAACTAAAGAAAACCTTAGTGAAATAAGTTAAAATACTCATATGAACTGACCTAGACACTGCTAAAAGAGTGAAAGAAAAATTTAAGCTCCCTGAGCTATTAAAATAAGGCAAATTAAAAGACTTTTTTGTGTTTTTAAGTTCAAGATTTTCTGTTTTTTTATTTTTATCTTTGAGAACAAAAAGTAAACCAATTATTAGAAAGACTTAATCTTTCCCCAGCTACGGCGCCAAAACATATAGATAGAGTAAGTAAGGATCGATTCCACGAGGAAATATACTTTTTTAAACTCTAAAAATTAGTTCACTTATACGAATATCGTATCAGATGGAGAAGAACTTGGAGCGTTCTTCAAGCTCCAAAAGAATATAAGAGAGAAAGATGGAAAACTTCAAGCGTTTCTGAACTCCAAGAGAATAGAGGAGGAGATTAGGATTTTGATTATTCTTTATTGATTCCATAATAATAATACGAGAGTACAATATATAGAGATACGAGAAATCCTAATTAACCTAATGGGCATGGGCCCCATACTAAAACCTAATCATGAGTATCTATATAATACTACTAATTAATAAATAACTAACTAAATAATATAATTCATCTTGTGTATCATTCCCACCCCCTTAGAAAGCTACCTTGTCCTCAAGGTGGAGGTTCCCACTCGTGCTTCTGGATAAAAGGGGAAGGGTTGAACCAAAGAAGATCTCCACCTGGTGATCCATCATTACAAATCTCGATAACTGAAGCGTAACAGAGGATAGTTGAGGCAAAACCAAATATGTGGCGGACTACCCGCAAGGGAGCTAGGTATTCAAACTTTTCAATATCATCAAGGTCAAACAACTTGAGTGTATCCAATGACATTGAGTTCTCAACTTTGGGAAACTCTTCAGCCGCTATTTTGTCTTCACATCTTGAAACTTAATACTCTGCAATGACCACATCAATCGAGGTATCTATATCCTGAAAAGTAGAATCTGGCTTGTAGTTCTTAGCAACATCTTCATACTTACGATCATCATCAATTACTTTCACAGCATTGGACTTCCCGTTATCTTCATTCATGGCTTCAAATACACTACTCACCTCATCTTCCCCACGTGGTCCAGTGCAAAATTTTGTGAATCCAAGTGCATCCTCCATAGTCGGGGTAGGTAGTGTGTTGGTGTCTTCCACCCTGTGAACAAATTTGTCTTTAACCTTCTTTGGTGTCTTTTCAAAACAAATATAATCCAAATCATGTAGCGGAGCAAATCAAATGTTGAACTTTTCAACAAAATAAGCCCAACCATCAATTAAGGCGCCACACATACACCAATTAAACCAAGCCAAGGCAGATCCCTCTAACATTGATGTCACACGGTTCAAACGATCAACTAAAGGGACTTCATAAAACTGGAAATACTCACATACCGTAGCTAACCACTGCATGGGTTTGATTCCGTCACATATTGGAGACAACGTTGGTGGAGAAGGTGCACCTGTCAGTTTTCGTATAATACCCATAATGTGTGCTCTGAAAATTTGTAACTCAAAAGGAATTTGACTTGGCTCAATTGGAGGTCCACGAACCAAATCCTTTACCGAGCAAAAAAATTCTACGTCGATCGCATCATAATCAATTTGACCTTTAAAATTATGGATCGACCTGAGCTTCATAAGAATTTCATACACGAGATCAAAAATCAAACACACCCCTTCATCATACGTAATTTCTCCATAAAGAACCTCCTCTAACAAACTAAGGGGCTGTTTGGCAACTTCTGAATGGGTAAGTGCTGAACCAGTAAGAGGTCTGAACCATTAAGTGTTGAACCAGTAAAAGGTCTGAACCATTAAGAGCTAGTATATTGCTTAACTATTCAGAGGCAAATGTCTGATCAATTCAGATAAGAGGTCTTAACCATTCAGACTCTGTATAATACTTAACCATTCAGAGGCAAATCTCTTAACCATTCAGACATCTGAACCATTAAGAGGCTGAAACAAACAGTCTGAACCATTAAGTGCTGAACCATTCAGACATCTGAACCATTAAGAGGCTGAAACAAACAGCCCCTAAGAAGTCCGTCCATCGCAAAGTCCATTATCAAAATTAAAACCACCACACAAAAATACTCCAAAATTATCCAAATTACCTGAACAAACTTGAGAAAATATTGGATCCACAATTGTGTCTGGCGATTAGTGATGCAATTTTGACAGCCAAATTAGTGGGCAGAAACAATATTCAAAAGTCTGAGGGGAGAAGTTTTGTAGTTGAAGGGAAATTCCCTTTTATGCATAAATTAGTGGGCCGCACCAAACCATCAAAAAGGGCTCCAATAGTATCTCTCAATTTACTGTGCCGGCGCTCCAAAATTGCAGCAAAGTCTCCCTTTTTTTCGATCGTGCCTGTCCTTGTGCAAATCAAAGCACACAAAGGAATACTGGTCAGATTTACTCTGTAACCCGACTCTTCTCAATTTTTTTTGTGATGGCCGCGACTCTTTACAGTGCTACTTTGTGATTCTCAGATGGAAAAAAAATTGTTTTTTGTGGTAAGTTCTCTCAATGAAAGCACCAATTGATACGAATATCGTATCGGATAGAAAAGAATTTCGAGCGTCTTCAAGCTCCAGAAGAATAGAAGAAAAAAGATGGAAAATTTTAAGTGTTTCCGAGCTCCAGGAGAATAGAGAAAGAAATTACGATTTTGATTATATTGATTCAATGATAATAATACGAGAGTACAATATAGAGAGATACGAGAAACCTTAATTAACCTAATGGGATTGGGCCCCATACTAAAATCTAATCATGACTACCTATATAATACTACTAATTAATAAATAATTAATTAAATAATATAAATCATCTTCTGTATCATTCACTTTTGTCTTCTTTATTGAGTAAAAACAAGTAATTAAAACTAAGATATAGGGGGGAGGGGGTTTAAAAATAATGTTTGGAAGGATAAAATAAAAAAACTACTCTAAGTGACACACCACATAAGATTATATTTCTAAGTAACAACCTAAGGATAAAAATAGAACGTAACTTCACCAAAAGCCCAAACAAGAAGAAAAGAACACATAACACCATATTTTTGAAATTTAAACAATAATAGATTTACTTAAACAATTTTTAGAAAATCAATAAAGTTTTTAATGTAGGAAAGAATGTCCAAGATCAAAACTTTGATAAAAGCTAGCATAATCATCAACCAACTTTAAATTAAAACAAGGGTTAGGTTGAAGAAGAGGTCCACCAACGGTTCTTTCCTATTATATCATTCATATTAGCTCATGTTAGGACCAACTCTAACTTTAAACCCTACTACCCTTAGCAACCCAAAGAACATCCTCTAGATTACTACTAAGAATAATGCAATAAAATCTTTGGAAAAAAATCACCATAACAATCTTGCAGTAACACAAAAGTTATTTAACAAAATCAGTTTGAAAACCTTGATTAGAAAAAAACCACTTAATGAGGCAGCCTAGTACTAATCAAGTGACACATGGTTTCTAAACAAGTTCGGCTATTTAAAATATTTTGGACTTCAAAAGAATATCATTTTGAAGTGGATTAGGCGTGCACTCCTAATTTGACCCAATGCAAGCATAATCGAAGAACAATTCTCAGAACACCATTGAATTAATTTAACAGTAGCAAAAAAACTTGAATCATTTTCATATTACTAAACTACTTTTATAAATCAAAAGTTCATAGAAAAACCTTTTTTTGTAAAAAAGTGTTCGATATAATTGAAATGAGTCATTCTGTTTAATACTCCCTCCGTTCCACAAAATCATTCCTCTTTCGTTTTTTTTGTTTTCCATAAAACACTTCCACTTTCTATTAAAAAACCACTTTTATCCCTATTTTTTCATACCCTACCTATCACATTATACTTTTTCAATAATAACCAAACTATCTCATCTTACTTTTTCCCATCACATCAGGGACAAAATTGGAAAGTCAACCAAAATTACACTTTCCTTATTTTTCCCCAAAGTCAAAACCGGAAGGGTTTTGTGGAACGGAGGGAGTATCTTGTTTTGTGTATCATAAATATACAATCGAGTAAATATTGGGTTTTCACCCCCTCGTGGCAATAGAGAGGTTGTGTGATGATGATTGTGCCCGCTTAGAGTAAACTACGGAGCTGCTTGACCGTTGCTGCGAGATCCATCAGTTTTTCCATCCATATATGTGAACGAAAATATACAATTGTACTTTCTTATATTTTTAATGAAATGAGAAATTCTCGAAACAATTCTATAAAATAAATTATAGAGAAAATATGGGGATTTCCTTGAAAGAAGTTGGTGAACTTTTCCTTTCATGAAAGAATTTGAGAACTCTAGATGTTCCGAATCTCTATATTTTTTGGCTCTTTGTACACGCCATAATAAAGCTCCACGAAATTTACAGTTAAATGAGGGACCTCCAAAATCGATGATTTCTATTGAAAAAAGAAAATATCATATTACCAATGTTTTCCATACATTTTACACTTTACACAACTTATTTGTTGTATATATGATCTATGATCTAAATGTACATTTAATTTTAGCTTCTCCAAATACAGGATTATCTAAATATGAATCCCTTGTGCTCTCTTGACCCGATGAATTTTCTACCTCGACATCAAAAACTAAAACATATTAAGAGGGTGTTTGGGAGTGATTAGCTTATGGATAAAGTGATTTTTACAAAAGCTGAAAGCAAAAGCACCTCATCCCTGCTTCTCTGAAACGGTGTTCCATGTACAAAATAATGTTGGTGAAAGGCAGAAGCTGACATGACAAACAGAGTAAAATCACTTCCACTCAAAGCAGAAGCTAAATTGTTAAAAGCAGCGCACTGCCAAACACCCTCTAAGCGTATCTACCATATCAAGTTATGCATTATTGGCCTACATTATATTGCTTGTAATATAAATGGCTAAAACACATGTACCACTGTTGTATTATTACCTTCATAAACGTTAATCATACATGTTATAGAAGATAGATTAATTTTTGTCTGTCTCTTTTGTGCTTGAAAGTATGCTGACATGGGTGTACAATTATTCTTTGATTAAAGTACGTACTTTAGAGATAACTTTTTAGGTTATTAGGTTTGTCCTTTGTGAGAGTTTATTTATTAAGTTACCTATTGGCAATTACAAAAAAAGAGTATTCCAAAAAATTAAATGCTTTGTTTGAAATTTAAACAATTTCATTTGTCACATCACAAATTACATTCATTCCTAATTGTGTTCGAGAGTGTGACGTTGCACCCGATGACGATCTCTCTTCATCTGCACTTGTAATATCTATCATAAAAAATTTGTAAATTAATACGGAGTAAGTCTTTAACATTTAGGGGCTGTTTGTTTCAGCCTCTTAATGGTTCAGATGTCTGAATGATTCAGCACTTAATGGTTCAGACTGTTTGTTTCAGCCTCTTAATGGTTCAGATGTCTGAATGGTTAAGAGATTTGCCTCTGAATGGTTAAGTATTATACAGAGCCTGAATGGTTAAGAGCTCTTATCTGAATTGATCAGACATTTGCCTCTGAATAGTTAAACAATATACTAGCTCTTAATGGTTCAGACCTCTTACTGGTTCAGCACTTAATGGTTCAGACCTCTTACTGGTTCAGCACTTACCCATTCAGAAGTTACCAAACAGCCCCTTAATGTCTTGAATATAAATATCAATTTTTTTTCAATTCCTCACTTAAAGCAATACTCCGTATTACTTAACAAAGGTTTTAAGGTAAGAATATCACGGCTAGATTGATATTACACCTTAAACTATTTTTAAATTTAGTCCATCTTTTTTGAAACTTTTTGAACTCAAATATACATGGTTAAGTAGATACTTGAGTTCTACACTTAATTGTAGTCCTTACTTTCGTATCTATTGTAAAGTAACACTTTGTAATAAAACGCTCTAAATTGTCATTAATCAAAACCCTAAAAGAATGTGAATAAAACGAGTTTTCTTTTTTTAATACTAAATCTTTTATAAGCAAGAATTGTCAACGTATGATTTTTTGAAATTTAATCTCTCATACTCAATCACTTATAAAAAGGTAAAAAATCCTTTAATATAATATTTCAGACTCGAATCACCAGAGCTTGACACGTGAAACGTCTATGTGGAACCTTTTTTGACACATCGGTGATGACTGTACACATTAATTAGATCTAAAGTCATTCCTTAAATAAAGACATCAAGCATGAGAACTTTATTTATAATCATTGGCCATTTTTAGCAAATAGTTTATGGTATCTTTTAAAACTTGATATTAATACATTTGATAAGTTTAAACTAATATATTTGATATTCGAAAAGAAATTACTTTCTTTAAATTCATTTAACTTACTCATATCTTATTAAAAATTAAAAGCAATTCTTTAATTACAATTTAAAAATTACTTCCTTAAAATTATAATACTTTATTCTACTTATTTATGAAAATATCACGCTAAATAAAAGTAAAATATAAAGAATGTACTGAAATAGAAGCTCCACGTTTTTATCCGAAAAATAGGAGTCTGTACTATGATATAGACAATTCACAATACATTTTTGTATTATATATTGGCATGATTGGCATTGTATATGTATTTTAACTCCTACTTTGAGAATAAAAATATGGAACTTCTATTTTGGTATATTTTCTATCTTTTATTCATACTTGATTCTTTTTTCCTAATTTATACTTCGTATTTCTATAAGTACGTACTACTCCGAATATGAATAAAAAATTCAATTTTTATTGTTACAACTTTTGAGATGTTACTTTTTTTTTGAAAAGCATTCCTATGATATTAAAAGTAAAATGTGTATCACCTAATTAAAAATAAACTTTTAACAAGAAATACTTAATGATTGGGTGCATTTCATATTTTTTCCTAATAAATACAATTTCCTTAAATATATAATAAGGAATTTAAGCAAAGATTCTATCAAGATTCAATAATATTTTAATTTAATAGTTTAATTATATACCCATATCATCATAACAATAATATTTTAATTTAATAGTTTATTTATGAAATGAAGAATTTTTTTTATTTCAAAAAAACATTTGCTTTTAAAAATAAAAATTTTCGTGCAGGAAATTTAATTTTTAATAAGAAATATTTAAACCACCTTTTGATATTGAGATATTTATATTTTGAAGTACCGAATGGTAATTTTTATAGAATATTTTAAAATAGTCTTAACACAAAGATAAAATATTTGTATATTTATGTTTAAAAATAGTCATATAAGGAGTTAGTTTCTGAATACTTGACATTTTTTTTAGATTAAAAAGTGTGTTAGACTAAGACATAAGTATTTAGAATAATGTTTAAAAATATATTGTAATAATACTTTCTTACATACGATAGAAAAGTAAAGATAAATAATAAACTAAAATAAAAATATTAGCGAAATATATAATAGGTTATAATTAATAATATTTATTCAATAATTTTCAAAGAATAATTAATCATATACTTTCTATTATATAATTAATAATATTTATTTAATTCTATATATATAAATAAATATTTTTTAGATATAGGTATATTTTTCTATTTTTTGAACTTTATTGCCAAGTTTGGATTTTTTGTTTTGATCATTCAATAACAAAGCCTAGAATTTGATACTTTTTGTGTATGCATATATATGTACTCAGATTTTTTTATGTTCACCCATTTAATTGATTATAAATTTCGATAAGTATAAACCATTTATTTTACCTTAAAACTTCATAAAAATGTAAATAAAGAGTCATGCTTCGACACCATTTTTTACCACTGCAAAATTAATAAAATTCTTTCAGAGAACTATATGCATAACTAATTATTCCACACAAATGAATAACTTTAAATCTATTTTTAATGTAAAAATATAATTCTTAATCTAAAAATTGGAATGTTCTTTACCCCGTATACGTGTAAATGTTCTTTAAACTGTTAATACGATGCACGGGGTGGAACAATTTAATTTCCACAAATATAAATAATCCAAAAATAGAAATTTTTGGGAAGCAATACAATTTAACAAATAAAACTCAAAAATAAGTTGAAGTAGTATCAATCTCATTTTTGCTAATAATACCATTTCTTTAAACTTGTCAAATATAATTAAGGGCCGCTACCAAATTCGGAGTTACATCAATCACAAGAATTGTAGCTAAAAAGCCAATTTCCACGATTCAACTATTATTTATCCGATTAGGTGCATGTAGAAGAAAACATAATGATAGTCGCTGATTTCGTCCATCTGTTTGACAGGAAAAAGGAAATATCGTGATTTGATGGATTGTAATTACCACAATTAATACACCCAAGCCACATTTAAGCTTCGTATATACTCCCTATTTGATTAAAATTGCTAACTCCTCTTATATGGCATCAATTTGCCAAGTCATTAAAATAATAAATAGGTGTCGATGACGTGTTAAAAATGCCAAGTAGATTTGCCACACGTCAAATTTCAGTGAAGAAGAGTCTCAAATATAATAGTAAAGGATTAGTTATTAGTTATGGAGCGACTAAAAATACTACAAAGTATATAGATTTGTAAAAATGGATCACTATTATTAAATTTTGACCATGAGAAGTCAAACAAAGAAATTAAAATTTGGAGAAACAGAGTACAAAATACTTCATACAAATATAAAACAATTTTTTACTAATAAATAAATGCTTATTTGGTTTATATGAAAGTCCAATAAACCTTAGATGTATGTAAGAAATTACCAGCATTACAATTCAAATTTAGTGCTAGGTTTAATGAAATAAAATTCTATACCTATCTTTAATTTATTGAGACTTAAAATAATCCATAAATTTTGCACATTTTAAACAATCTATCGAAATCTTTCATAATCCTGATTGAATACAATCCTATGAAACTAAAACTAGTTGTAGAAATTAATCGGATACTTGGGAGTTTGGTCCGGGTAAAAGAGGCCCCAATGCTTTTCAACCTCAGCCCCAGTTTTAAGATCTTCATCAAACATAGCAAACAAGTAAGCCTCTATGGGTTTCCCCGGCTTGAACGGCGTTCCGGCGTTCCCTTTCACATGAGCAATGATGTTCCTATAATAAGCGACCGCGTTTTCAGTCTCCGCCGCCTCGCCGCCAGCCGACGGCCAACCCGTCTCGGAAACCACGACGTCGATGCCCGGGAACTCGGCGCTGGCGAGAGCGTAGTAGAAGGCGTCCAGGCTGGCGTCGAAGAGATTGGTGTAGCCGACGGCGTTGGGCCGGGTCGATCAGCGCGAAGGGGAGCGGTATGGCGGCGGGGTCGGAAACGTAGGCGAAGTAAGTGTACACGTTCGCGAGAAGCGGCAGATTGCGCGCCGCCAGGAACTGGAGAATGGGTACGAGGAACATCTTGAGGTCGTCGCGGAACACGCTGGCGGAGGGCGGGTAAGTGTTGTTCAGGACGGACTGGAGCGTCGCCGTCGAGACTTTGATGGCGTCCTGTAGCCCGGCGGCGGCCAATGCGTTGTACACGTTCTGCATGACGGGGAGGAGGAAGTTGGCCACGTCCGGCGCGGTGGTTGGCAGGACCTCGTTGCCGACGGAGATGTACTTGAACTTGACGTCGGGATAGTTGCATAGGACGACGGTGTTGACCCAGTCGTTGGCGGCGGCAGGGTCGGAGAGCGATGGGAGATCGGCGTTGGGGATTCCGAGGACGAGTTGGATGTCGGCTCCACGGAGAGCGTCCAGAACCGGCGGGACGGGGTCATAAACTCGCATGGCAGCTATGCCCTCGGCGGTGGCTAGGTTGATCGCCGCCGCTTCTGGCGGTAAGTTGTCTCCATTTCTACCGTAGCAAACGCCAATTGTCTGTGCCCCTGTACAAAATTCAAAACAAATGCTAAAAGTTAGTTACATAACTTTTATGATTTATGTTTGGACCATGCTACACTTACACCAAAAAATGTACCACATTCGTACAATACGGTTATGCACAAACATTTTGATGGTTTACACCGACACAAGTGTTGGTGCGTTAACAAAAATTTACACGGACACAAAGTGTTGGTGCGTTAATAAAAATTAGTTTTACACCAACACAAAATGTTGGTGCAAAGCAACGGGATACAAATTGGGGTATAAATGATGGGGTACACATAACTTAATCCTTTATATTTCCATATGATGTGCCATATAGGCCTCATTAGCAATAAATGTTGGATAATGACTGATTGTTTTAATGATTGTTCAAATTGTTTTTAATAATGTCTTATTTTATTTGAATTGTGTAATAGGTCAATTTTCTCAAATGCAGAGCATTTTAGAACTTTTCATTGTCAAACGTTAAATTAAATATGTTTGGTCCTATTTAAGGAAAACTGATACGTTCAAGTCCCATTTGTGTAAATTACTCACTAGAAAAATTTGGACATATAAATTCTATATACTTCGTATTTGTTCAATTTTGACCTTTTTAGTCAAAACTTATAAATCTTAATTATTTCAGAGTAATCTTTTGTTACTATATACTCCCTTCGTCCCTATTTTGATTACAAAATGGGAATTACGATATAAAATCTCATATTTTTAAAATCATTTTATTTTTAAATTGGTACATCAATAAGAAATAAAAATTATATATTAAAAAACTATGTCCAAAGTTCTACAAAACAAAAGGTGACAAGAATATCTTATTTTATCAAATAATTAATGAAAACATACAAATAAACAAAAATTATCGAGAGGAAAGAAGAAAAAAAATTGTAATCAAAATGGAGATCGAGGGAGTATAAAAAAGAGACTCAAGTTTCTAAGTGGGGTAATAAATCTCTGAGTAAACTTAAATATCAACAAAAAACGGCAACGTTTCGTTGACACTGGAGTTCTAGTGTCCGCGGACGACACTTACTCATTTGAAGCTTCCTCGATACTCTAAATGAAAAATCAATGCTTCTTATCCCTCCTAACATCCTCTCTAAACCCCCCACCGCACCCCAACCCAGCCCGCGCGCCCTCTGTGCCCCTCCCTAGACTCCCTTTTCACCCCCTCCAAATGTGTGGCCATTATGTGTTGTCACACATTTGGAGGGGTAAAAGGGGAGTCTAGGGTGGGGGCGCAAGGCGGTTGGGTTGGGGTGGAAATATGGTAGGGTATTAGGGATGAAGTTAAGAGGGTAAGAATCATCAATTTTACAAATGGAGAACCGGAAGAGCTTCGAATCAACGAGTATCATCCGTTAACATTTAACAATGGAATCTAGTGTCAATATAACTTTGCCAATAAAAAATCTTTCTTTTTAAGATACTCCCTCCGTCCCCAATTTGATTACAAATTGAGGTTTACGAGAAGAAATATCCCACTTTTTAAAATTATTTTATTTACAAATCGATATACCAATAAGAAATAAAAATTACATATTAAAAAATTACGTCAAAAGTTCTAAAAATAAGATGTGACAAGAATATTTTATTTTATCAAATATTTAATTAAATCGCGTAAACAAATATAAAGTTCTACAAAATAGGAGTAATATTTTTTCCTGAATTTATATTTTTTCTATATATATAGCAAAACTTTTAAATTAGGTATTACGGAGTATAATAATTGAGACTCACGAGAGGTTGACAAATTAGGCTATTCACTTGCCATTTTTCTAATTTATTCCTTTTTAAGACTATTCACTTGACATTTTTTGACACGCTAATATGCTACTCCGTAACAAATTAGGCTTAAAAGTAGTGCTAGCATAATAACTAATAAGCTTAGGCCTTGTTTGGAAAGAACGTTTTCAATTAGTGCTAGCGTTTTAGATAAAATATTAAGAGTGTAGATTTATTCATAAAACGCTAACACTAAAAGCTACCGTCATATATGGCCTGTTTGGGAATAGCGTTAGTGATTAGCGTTAGCGTTTTAAAAAAGCTATCTACGAGCAGCGTTTAGCGTTAGCGTTTTTAAAGTAATCTACACCGTTAAAATTTTATCTAAAACGCTAATGCTAATCTCTAACGCTATTCCCAAACAGGCCCATAGTCTTTTCAAAATGCTAACGCTAATCTCTGACGCTTATGCCAAACGGGATCTTAATCAGTAAAGTACCTGTATTTAAGTTAACCGTTGATAGGCCAAGAATAATGAGAAAAGCGGCTAATGAGCGTTGAAAATACAATGCCCAAAGAACTCCCATTGTTAGAAGACAGCCACACGACGCGTACAAGAGATGGGAAGTGTAAATGTGATACCCGGAGTACAAGAGATTTTTATTTCATCTCCTAAAGGCTATGAAGTAATTAACTATATAAATGGATAAATTTAACATCCCCAATATATAGAATACTTCTCTTTTTCCAACTTTCCTTCTCTTCAACATTAAAATTATCTCTATAAATAGAAATGTGGTAAGCCAAGATGGAAGGATCCTTAATCCATGACAACATTAAACATTATACGAGTGTCAAAATTTTAATGACATGTGTAAATATTTACAATTATACTATATTTAAAATAGATTGGAATTTCCCATTACATTTTCCTACCTAAATGGTCTTCAGTCACAAAAGGTAAGTACTCAACATGAATATGTAAATGTTAAATGTAATAGTGACGTGTAGAAGGTAATTATAATGTACCATGTGTACTAAATTAAAGTGTCGTATAAAAAGGTAATTATTGTAATTAAATTACCGTGTAATATATTATTTATAAATAAGATAATTTTATACATTAAATTTTTTAATACAATGTTATAAAAAGTATATTAATTACGGTACCGTGTTATAAAAAGTATTAATTAGCATGGTACCGTGTGGTAATTTTTAAATACCCTTTTATAAAAACTATAAGAGCATGAACAATAGTGAGGCAAAAATGAAATGTCACACGCTGACGTGAAGCATTTCAACCAATAAAAAACAGTCCAGTCAACGAGTGGCACGTGAGTGGAGTGGCATGCCTTGCAGTGGCAAGTCATTGTTTTCATCACTTTTTTTCATATTTTTTCCATATTTGAATTATTAAAAATTATATTACCTATATATTTTTATCATGAAAATATTTCTATTTGCTCAAATAAATTAAAAACGTTTTTGTTACCTACTCCATATTTTTATTTTAATCATGAAAATATTTCTATTTACTCAAATAAATAAATTTTTTCTATGTATTTTAATTATTAAAAATGTTTTTGTTACCTACTCCTTATATTTCTGACGTGTTTTAATCATTAAAATTTATCTTTTATTTATTTTATAAATAAAAGATGGAATGCCACGCTCCTACCTCTCCATGCATGGTGAAATTGGACAGCCACGCGAGTCAAATTCATTTTCCATCTCCTTTGTGCTAATGTGGATACTCGCCATTGTATTTGCTCTAAATATTAATCCATATCCATACTTTATTTAAAAAGAGGGTGAGTGGTGTAATAGTGTTCCCGCCCAAATCTTATGCCATTACATATGGTAATTGTGATATTTAGTTGGAAAGTACTCAAAGGATATTAATACACACCAATAATATTTTATTATGTAAAATGGAAATCCACATACATACTTTATTTAAAAAGAGGGTGAGTGGTGTAATAGTGTTCCCGCCCAAACCTTATGCCATTACATATGGTAATTGTGATATTTAGTTGGAAACTACTCAAAGGATATTAATACACGCCAATAATATTTTATTATGTAAAATGGAAATTTGTTTAGAAACACAAAAATTTTGTTTCAAAAATTAAAAACTAAAATTTCCGTTTAAAGATTTTAATTTTTCGTTTCAAAAAATATTGCCATTAAATATGGTAATTGTGATGTTTAGTTGGTAACTAATAAAAGGCTACTAATGTCCCGCCAATAATGTTTTATCACTATACCCAAATTTTGATTTCACCCAAATATGGTATCGTGTCAAGACCATAGTTTAAATTAATGGACTATAACTATTATAAAGATGGAAATGAAATTTTTTTTATCAATTAATTTAATTCATCCCAACAAAATAATTATTGGGTTTTTAAAGGCCAAAAGATAAGAATTAAATATTCTTACCGTTTAAATGATCAAAAAAGGTAATAATAAAAATGGACTATAAGTATTATACATGCATGGCTTTTTAGAAATAAATCAAAAGGTAAGAATTAAATATCCTATAAATATATATTTATGTGATATGTGATGAAATTGTTAAGCATTTGAAGATGGTAAGAAATTAAAGAGACAATGTAAGGCAACACACGGATTTTAGAATGGAAATTTGTTTAGAAACAAAAAAAAATCTGTTTAAAAAATTAAAAATTAAAATTTCCGTTTAAAATAATGTTATGTCATTACATATGGTAATTGTGATGTTTAGTTGGTAAGTAATAAAAGGCTATTAATGTCCCGCCAATAATATTTTATTACTATATCCAAATTTTGATTTCACCCAAATATGGTATGGTGTCAATACTATATTTTAAATTAATGGACTATAACTATTATAAAGATGGAAAAAGAAAGTTTTTTATCAATTAATTTAATTCATCCCGACAAAATAATTATTGGGTTTTTAAAGGCCAAAAGGTAAGAATTAAATATTCTTACCGTCTAAATGACCAAAAAAGGTAATAATAAAAATGGACTATAAGTATTATACATCTACGACTTTTTAGAAATAAATTAAAAGGTAAGAATTAAATATCCTATAATATATATTTATGTGATATGTGATAAAATTGTTAAGTATTTGAAGATGGTAAGAAATTAAAGAGACAATGTAAGGCAACACACGGATTTTAGAATGGAAATTTGTTTAGAAACGAAAAAATTATGTTTAAAAAATGAAAAATTAAAATTTCCGTTTCAAAAAATTTTATGCCATTACATATGGTAATTGTGATGTCTAGTTGGTAAGTAATAAAACACTATTAATGTCCCGCCAATAATATTTTATTACTATATCCAAATTTTGATTTCACCCAAATATGGTATCGTGTCAACACTATATTTTAAATTAATGGACTATGTTCCCACAAATTGTACGAATAATGTAATATATAAAGAAGTCTTTTGAAATTTGTAAAGCAGCGATGTTTTTACAGTAAAATAATATAATCTCTATATTCTATTACATCTCATTTTTTAGCATTAAAAATGATCTTAATTTAATAACGTAAAGATGACCCGTGCAACGCACGGGTGTGATACTAGTTATTATAGTACCGTGTGAAAAAAACTACAACCATGCTAGGGGTACACCAAAAAGTATACTCCAAGTTGTACCCCAAAAAACGTACCAATATTTTAATGGTTCACACTGACACAAAATGTTAGTTTGCTTAAAAAAAATTGGAATGATATTTTTTGTCAATGTAAACCATCACACTAGCATTACATTAGCACAAGATATCGGTTCATTCTTTTGGGGTACAAGTTTTGGTGTACAAATATCTTAATCCAAAAATGTATTCCACATCAAATACTTTTTGGTCCAACATTATATATTATAAATGAAGTTTTAAAATTTTGAAATTGAAATGATAGTGTGAAAAAACTCGATCAAAAATTAATTGTGTTTCCATTTTTACTTTATACGTATTTTAAATACGATAATTTCATTATAAACAATGTAATAATAATATTTAAAAGGTATGTTCTTTTACGCGATTACCGTGCATAAAACAATTAGCGTCTTTGAAAAAACCTGAAACCGTTTCCTTATACACGGTTTTGGTAAGAAAGAATCATAAATGCACGTTAATAATTAAAAATTTAAGTTAATACACGAATGTTGAAATGGTAAGTAACACCAAAAATCGATCAAAAACTAATTATGTTTCCTTTTTTACTTTATAATTATTTTAAATAAGGTAACTTCATTATAACTTATAAGTAACATAAAAACAACAATATTAAAAAAGGTATGTTCCTTTTTTGTGATTACCGTGTATAAAAAAATTGTGGTCTTTAAAAAAATTGAAAGCGTTTCCTTGAACAAAAAATATATTATCATACCTTAAAGTATCGACAGTAAAATTATAGTTATCTTTCCATTTATACTTTATAGATATTTTAAATAAAGTAATTTTCTTATACACGGATTTGGTAAGAAAGAATAATTAATACACGTTAGTAGTTAAAAATTTAAGTTGAAACACGAATGTTGAAATGGTAAGTAACACCAACTGTGTAATTTGGCCAAAAGTTTACATTGTGATTTCAAATTCATGCATTTTCATAACCGTCTTTCGAACAAAACATCGGGATCTTAACCGCTGTAAGAAATATTGTCATCGCTTTTGATGTTAAACCTTAGAGCGATAAGAGTTTATCATATTTCTGTCTATGCTAGGGAGCTAGAATCATTGGGTGTTATTTTTCACGACTCAAATGTTAGTTCTTTCATTAATAAGAATCTTAAATATGTATACATTAATCCATGTGGTTATCTGCAAGCCACATGGGTGAAAAAGTCGTTATACCAAGACTATCATTGACATCATCTGATACAAGAATTCCATTCAAGTTTCAAAGAAGAGAATTCTCTGTGGTTACTTCGTACGCAATGACGATTAACAACAGTTAGGGTAATCACAGAAACATGTTGGATTATTGTTACGAAAACCGGTATTTGATCATGGATAACTGTATGTTGCAATTTCAAGAGTAACAAATTATAGTAGGTTGAAAAATCTAATATGCAGCAAAGACAATGTTCCCACAAAATATACGAATAAGGTTGTTTATAAAGAAGTCTTTCGAAATTTGTAAATCAAAAATGTTTTGTACCTTAAAACAATATAATGTTTATATTCTATTAGATATCATTTTCTAGCATTGAAAAATGATCTTAAGTTAGTAACGTAAATATGACCCATGCAACGCATGGGTGTAATACTAGTTTTAAATAAAGAGGGTGTTTCTCTCTACGGGTGCTCATTGACTTGTTGATGATAATCAGTTTTAACTTATAAGCTGCTTATAAGTTAAGTATTTTTTCGTGAAAGTAAAATGACTTAAATAATAGATAATTCATTTGAAAATATTTATATATGGTGAGGGATAATTTTATAAATAATCAGATCAAAACGGAGAAACGAAAAAATTGCTTAAAAACAAGTAGTTGAACTTATTTATTTTTTCAAGCTTATAAGCAGCTTATAAGCACACAGAAACATGTCATCAATTGACTTATAAGTTAATAACTACTTATAAGCACAGATTAACACCCACAAAGTTTTTACTCAGTGCAAATTTTACATATGGAGTATTTTTTTAAAGAGTAATTTACCTAAATAGGACTAAAATATAATGACTTTCTCGA